GTTGTATTTCCTTCCATCCATTAATTTTTGCCATTTTAAAATTTACCAAGGCTGGTCAGAGGATGAATTCTTGATTTCAGCCCTTTTGTTAGATCTGCTGTTCTTGCTGATTGCCAAAGCAGTTCCTGAAGGGGCAGACAGGAAGGTGCAGAATGGTGATGGTTCTGCTGCTCCCTTCCCTGTGCTCTCCTGTTTGCATCTCACTGACACTGGCAGGCATGGTGCAGGTAGCACCTGCTTTTGTGACTCTGCTGGAAGCTTCTTCTGTGGCCATCTATTTTTTGAAAACAAAACAGGTATTTTACTTTGAAAACTAAAGTGTAACTCTCCAAGGCTGGCTTTTTTTGAAGAATGGACTTAGACAGAAATGGTCTTTCTAAATTATATGTTTAAAATTACCCTACCATTATACAACAGCTTGGCACTTCTCCAGAAAGCTGAAGACATTTGGAACCTTTTCCACTGAAATGATAATTGCCCAATGAAAACAGGATTTGGGGAAACATAAACTGACATCAAGCTACTCCTTTTTGCTATAAATTATATTGACTCTGCACTATTGCAAAATTACTTTTTGCATGATTTGACCATGGAAGAATGTAGTGAAAGACTCTTAATACCACACTCCCATATTGAGGGAAATTGCACTGCATCCACACAAATCTGAGCTGAGACTTGCCACTGACTTCAAAGAACTCTGCCTTTTGTGCTCAGAGTTGCACAGGCCACTATTAAAATATCTTTAAAGTCTTTAACAGCCAGGTGTTTTCTTTGTGTGCCAGGATGGAAGTCACTTTTTTCTTTGACCAAATTTTCAGTATTTGATTTGTTTACTCCAAGCTGCTGTGAAGGTACTGAAGGACAGGAATTAAAAACTTCTGAGTCTGAAGCTGAAAAAGAAATAGATATTTATTCATGTGAAGTATCATTTTCCCCATAAAAGTCCCTGTTTCAGGATATTGTGGAGTTTACTAGTGTACTGGAAATAATTTAGGAAGTTTTTAAGATCTAGATCAGCAAATGGGTGTGTGTGTGGGGGTGTGTGTGTAAATAGATAAACAGATGTACAGAGGTTTGGGAGAACAGGCTTAATGCCCAGTGGATCCTCTCTGTGAGCACTGAAATGCCCAAGTGAATCAAAAAACCAAACTTTCCCATGGACTGTGAGTGATTTCTTTGTTGGGCTCAGTTTGCCTACCTACTTTATACTACAGATAGAAAGGCTTATATTTTCCTGTGTGTAAGAGAGTGAAAGATGGATGTGAGTCAGAGAGCCTGTCCAGCTGGTAAAAGTGAACTGTCAGGGGCTGACAACATGAATGGAGTTACCTTGGAGATGCAACAGAAGACCAACAACTAGACATTGAGGGTTTAATGAATGCCTGCCAAGCGAGGCAGAACGTGTGAAAACAGCGTGGCTGGCCTTTGAAAGAAAGAGCTCAGGTGCTGGAGGAACTCACAGAGGAGCAGGAATGGTGTAAGGCCACACTTGAAAGTGTATGGGGACTCTGAGCCCAGAGGAGCTGTTAGGAAGTATTTTTTCTGTGCATGTTGTTTGCAGTCACTCAGGAAACCATTGGCAGGACCATGAGAAGGGGCAGCCTTAAAGTGTTGAATTGTGGCTGATAAGAGCATCAATAGACTGCTGCAAGCATTCACAGAGGAAAAAAAGTCCTTTAAATGACAAGAGTAAGGGATTTTGGTTTATATATCCCCAAACAGCCCAAATTACTGATAAGAGTAAATTTCCAGCCTTCTTCTGAACTGAATTCTCTGTCTAGTCTCTGCTTACAGCATAAACTTACAAATGCATCTTAGATTGACTTCAGGTAAGTTTGAGATGCTTATGGATCAGTAAAGCAAAGGTTTTCTGTGTATATCTTCAGTAACAGGATGTCACTTTTAGTACCATTGTATCAGCTGAGACAGAGACTGATGTGCATATATATGTAGATTCTGTACATCTGTAGCTGCCACATTATTTACTGAGACATGTATTTTATGATTACATCCGATGGGCAAAGGGCTCACTTCTAAACTGGAGCTCCCTTCCACCTTCTAATAATGTACATAAAGGCTTGGTTGGATTGAGATCTTCAGAGGCAGAATAACTCCTGTGGAGGGAATGTGTGGGGCCAGAATTGTTGTTTGGGGTGGATTTTTCTCAATTATTTAGATGGACACCAAGAAGTTCACTCAAGCTCCTTCTCCTGAAATGGGTTCCTTGGACTGTGGTTGGTGGGCCAGCAGGAGTACTTGATTGCTGCAGTTTTGAACCTAACCTGGAGGGTTTTGCTGGCCTTAAGGCCAGCACTGGTCTCAAGTAGTCTCCAACAGACTGGTCTTTTCCACAGTGGCTCAGTGAATTAGCCTCTTCACACAGTGACTTTATGGTACACCTATTTCTGGTCTAAAAAACCTTGAAATGTGGGGTTTTTTAGCCTTTTATTATAATCACTTCCTCTCCCTCTACCTTGAGGGTGATTTTTTTCCTGCCCATAGTTGCAGTGTTGTCTTCAGGGAAGCCTGTGTTTTGTGCCTTTGGGAAACGTGCAGTCTGCTCTGCTAGAATCTGTAGCATTTGTTAGGCCTTGCAGCCCAAGTTGCTACTGACTCCTGTCAAGGAAAACTGCTCAGACTTACAATGGGGGGGTTGTTTCCTCTGTCAGGTATGGAAAGAGGCTGAGTGGGGTTCCCTGGCTCCCATCCCGTGATCAGATCATACTCTGTGCTAGGTCAGGCAATGCTAGAGCTGGAACCCTTGTGTCATCAGGTTGCCATCTGACAATACCACATTAAGTGCTGAGGCCATGGAGGCTCGCTTTGTCACTGGCTTGGGTGGACATAAGGACTCCTATTACAGAAAGGTCTAGCAGGTCAGTCTGGCTTGCTGATGAATGCCATCAAAGAAGTAGCATCAACACCAAAGTGATTTCCATGGAAGCTCAGGGAAAGGTTTGAAAAATATTTTGCCTCGTGAGGGGGTAATTGAAAAGGTTTGCATATAGCAGCCTGGAATGCCTAAAGTTATAGGTGCTGATTGTCTGTGCCAGCGGGAGGAAGAGTGTTTGCTGTATCCATTTCCTGAGTGGATGAGAGCATTCATGCCAGCAGGGAATTCAGCCCTGTGGGAGTGAGGCCAAAGGGTGTCTGCCTGTCTGGCCATCAGTATGCTGGAGACTTACTCAGAAAATGGGACTTGACAGATACGCTCTGCTGCACAACACCGAGCAGCATTAATGGTGTTGCCAAATTTAACTCGCAGCCATCGTCCAAACTGTTTCTCATTAGCTGTCCCAGCTGTGTCACTGCTGCTGACAGGAACTGGCCTCCACAACCTGCTCTGTAAACACTTTCCAGAGCTCAGCTTGGACAATGATTCTGACTCTGCTGCTGTCAGTCTCCTGGGTTGGATCTGGGTCTGTCCATAGGAAAGGATTACAAAATAGAAGGCTCATATCATCACGGTTTGTTTATGGCAGTTTTGGGAAATGCCAGAGCAGCACTACAGCTTGGATGTTTCCATTGAAGCCTGCAGATTCTCTGTAGAGAACCTGTCTGCTCTGTACCGCAGTAGCACTGATCTTAGTCCAGAAACTATTCGGGTATTTTTGGCTGCACTTTGGAGAAATTCATTCAGTCTAATGGCATTTCAAAGAGGAAAAACAAAAGTATCTAAGAGCCTGAGGTTTGAGAAGTTGGCTGTTGCACACTGGGTGGAATTCTGAATGGAAAAATAGTGTGGATTTCTGCTATGCAGAGCTGCTTGTCCAGACCTATGGCGCTACCTCGTGTCAATTAAAACTGCAGGGTTGCTGCTACTAAACACTCACAGTCAGTTGCATTTCATAGGTTCAAGTCTGCCTGTAAACCCAGGCAGAAATAAGCATATATACTGAATTGGTTTGCATTATATTCCATTAGCAGTATTAGCTACCTATTTTGCAAGTGCTTTAGATAATTTTAATAATATGATAAAAAAGCCACACTCTAATAAGTCAGAAGGTTGTAAGACGATGAAATGAAAATTTGTTTAGGGTGAGTACAAGAGATTACCAGGCAACTGAACATGCCAGTGTAGAGCACAGCTGAAGGAGGCTGTAGTGTTTTCTTGTAGCTGTCTCTTGAGCCCATAATTGTAGGAGGGGAACCCTAGAAGCAAAAGAAATACAAGAAGAATAAGCTTGAATGCTCTTCTGTCTCCTGGATCTCATCTGTGATTCACCCAAGCCTGTGCTGGAGAGGTGTTGCACACATCTGAAAGGAGTTTGCTAATACTCATCATCTAACCAAGACTGTGGTTGCAGCATGTGAGGGCACTGGGCTGCATCCTGACCCCTCCATGCTTGCCTGTGTGCTGTGGGCAGGCTGGCAGGGCTGGGAGTGCCTCCTGGTGTTGCCTGCTGGGCTTTGGTCAGCACGGCTGCCTGTGGGAGGCAGGGAGCTCAGTCTGTGAATCTCTTCAGCACAACACTGTAAAATCTGATTTCTCTTGGCACTGAGTTGTTGTACACTTTGCATATTTGTTTGGCTGGTGGAAATCCTGACAGTAAGTGGGGCATCAGGCACTTAATATTGTTGTTGTCACTCAGGAGAGATTTGCTTACTAGTGGTGGCTTATTTACTTAATTAAATGCAAATGGTGGTTTTAGACGCTGAAATTGCTTGACCCTGTGTTATGTGAAAATCCACTGATGCAATGATCTGTGTTTATGAAAAGCTGAAAGTGTGAGAAATATGGTAAATCTTGCAGGGAGCCTGGTTGGGAGCAGATGCTCTTGTCCTTCCTGCCAGGTTATCTGCATTGGGGTCAGGGTGGTGAATCATGGTAATGTGCAAGGAGCAGCAATATTCTCTCCTGTTCTCCATATGGAGATGGCCTGTGTGGGTCCCACGGGGAGGATGACTGCAGTGCTGTTGTTGGCCAGGTTGTGTTTGCATGAAGCACTGGGGGAAGGACCTGATGCAAAAGCCTTGACCAGCCCTGTATCCCCTTGCAGAGATGCACTGGATGCTGCCAGCGTGCTCTACAATCAGGTTGATGAGGGCGTTCACCGCCTGGTGATGCTGTCAAACAAGCGTGTCCAGGAGCTGGAGCTGGTGATGGAGTTCGAGAAAGTGGAAGAGTGTTTTAAGGAGGTAAGGCCCCTACCTGTCAGTTCCAGTGGCTGCTGCCCTCTGACTGTGTTCCACAGCAGGTATTGGGCCTCTTGATCTGTTGTGTGAAGGTGTACAGTGATGCTTAAAAAGAACAACTGGACAAAAGAATTTGAGATAGAGTTTCAGCAGTGCTGACAATCAAGCCACTTATTTCCCTGGTATCTCTTGATGCTGAGTGAAAGTCCCTTTGCTTCTCTCTAGATGTGGATTAGTCAAACCCCATAAACATCTGTGAAGTGGCTCATAGGCAAGCCATACACTTGGAGGTTGGGTGTCTTTTCTGACCCTCTCAGCAAGGCTGTTGATGAAATAGTCTTCATACTTCACCTTGAGAAGCAGCAGAGTGATGTCAACAAGCTGATAAGTCTGCATGTCCCCTTTGGGCTGTAGCTCCTTCAGGATCACCTTACATCCTGTTGCAGAATATCCCTGCCCCACACTGGCTGCCCATCCCTGTCGTGTGCTCTGTTGTTTAGATTCCTGTTCTGTTCTCAGGTCCTTGATATCTGATAAGTCCAGGCACATCCCTTCCCCTCTGGGTGCAGCACCAGGTACATTTGGTTTGCCTTTGGGTGCAGCCCTCTCTACAGGCTCCAGGAAGGGAACAGCTTCTTGTCCTTAGCCCAAGAGCCATGCTCAGCCTCCCACCCTCTGCACTTCTGTGGGACCTTCAACTTCCCTTCATTTAGTGCTTGTTGAAACTCCTGGCAGCCATGGGATAACTGAAGCAAACGGGCACTGGCTTTCAGAAAGACCATTGAAACCTGTAGCCGTGTTGATAAAGGACCTCAAAAAGTCATAAAGCAGCTAAGGTCTGAGCATCCTACAATAGCTGATCAGTCCTTTCAGTGTTGCAGATCCCAGATGTTCCATGTAGCAGATCCCTGAGCCTGAACTCAACACTGAGATTATGGAGTTGCATGGTTTCCTGTGCTGTAACTCATCAACAATGAGAAGTTTGCGAGTCCTTAAAAATCATGATTAGGATCAGTTTCACTATTGCTGTTCTGGGATTCTGGGCTCCTCTCTTCTAGTGGGAATAGGATGTGCAAAGGAGGCTGCAGCCTACCTAGTGTTTTCACAGGCCAAGGTGGATCTGGGAGTTTAATGACTTCCCATTTGCAGGTAGACACTGGGGCGCCATGCAGGATGTGCTCGGGACAAGAAGTCTGTTGCAAGAACCTGGTAGAGACTCCTGTTAAACTCACAGGTTCCTAATACCAAACAGAAATGAAAAAAGGCACAAAAGCAAGCACTGCAACCTCTTTCTGCTTTAAGCTGAATTTTATTTTTTGTTGAATTGAGTAACACTCAGCTGCTCCTGGGTTACTTTGCTTATAGATCACCAATGGTGGTAGGAACTGCTCCTGCTGTTACACCTGCCTGGGAGCTCTAGGCAGCAGCAGTGTGCCTCTCTGCAGCTCTGAGAACCCATCACCATTTCTTCCTCTTGCCAGTGGGCTTGCTCCTTGTAACCTTCTCACAGTCCACAAAACTAGGAGTTTGTCCTTGACTATGGGGTTGAGTTGGGATATGGATTCAGGTGACATAGGCAAACAGGATGTGTGGGCGTTAGGAAGCACTTAGTCTGTCCCTTCCCCCAGGTGCACCTATGCCTGGAGCATTGCAGACAAGTTTACCAGCCTGTTTTTAAAACCTAGTGATGATGGAGGTGCTGTGTTATCCTGCCTGGCCTCTTGTGACTGCTTTGCTCTTAGGATGCTCTTGTTAGTCAGTCCTCTAGCCCTCTTTGAGGATCTGGGCTGATAGCTGTAGCAGTAGCTGGGCTCCACTGAGGAACATGCAGTTGCTGCTCAGCTTCGTGGAGGGCTGCCTTCAGAAAACCATTAGCTGAGAGTCCCAGAGACCAGTGGAGCATTGCAGATGGGGAGAATCCATCAATACATTCACACTGACATGGTTCATGTCCTGCCAGTCAGAAAAGGGAAGTGATGTAGGAAATCTGACAGCAGGAGATTTGATCCCAGTTGGGGGTAACATTAATAGGAATGTCAGGCCAGTGTGCAAGTTGCAGAGCTTGCTTTAGACCATGGCTCACCCAAAACAGAGCCCAGGCAGCCACTTGCCCTGTTTATGCCTAAGGCTAGTGAGCAATAGCAGAGCTTTTCAATTACTCTGTAACCTGAAGTGGAAAAACTCTGAGCAGGAGGCTCAGACTGAAATGCTGGATTGGGGGGGAGAAGTCTACACTCATTCTTTCCAGTAATGAGATGGCCAGCATTATGAGAGCAGTTCCTTGCTCTTTCCTCATAAAGGCCTGCCGTGGTGAGTAGCACAGGGTGACTAACAAGCAGGGCTTATCCCTTTTCTTCTAGGTCAGCAGTTGGATTGAGAATGTTGGCAGAAAACGGCTAAAGGAAACTGTCAACCTGGATGATTCTTTGGAGATGCTGCTTCAAGCACAAAAGCAGTTCAAGGAGTTTGATCTTGTTGCCAGTGTAAGTGTTGTCAAATTGGAAAATTATATTCTCCAGCATCTGAGTTGGTAGCATATGTGTCTTGTATGTGCTCAGCCAAACACATGGTGCTAAGAGGGTTCACCACCAAAGTGTGTGTCATTCCCTCTCACTACATAGTCTCCCTGCTCTCCTTTTGCAGACAAAGCCACCAGCTCAACACTTAGTAGATGGCATTTACCAGTCTTGGGGAAAACAACTACTGGGTTGAAAGATGGATTTTTTTGTTCCTCCTTTCATGTGCTTGTAACACTGCCTTTTTCATGACTGAGCCATGGTCTTGCTGTGTAGGCCTTACAAGCTGCTGTGTGACAAGTGTAAATCATGAGATCAGGCTTCAAAATTCTGCTGTAAACAAAGACACCCTTGCTCGTGTGATTTGAACCTTGAAAACCGGTCTAGTTAGCCCTAGCTGTTAATGGCCTTGAAGACTACTTAGTGTTGATTCCAGCTCTTTATCCTCATAAACAATTCCTTTTTGTTTTCAGGAATATTGCAGAAGGGGACAGGAAGCATTAAAGAAGATGAATCAATGGGAAGACCTTTCCTTTGTGGATGTGCATTCTTACAGGGTAAAGCTGCAGACCTACGAAGATGAGCTGGAGGATTTCTGCACCCAGCTGGATGAAACAAGGCACAGAGTCTGTGAAACAGTCAGGCTGTATGAATTCTTTGACAAGGTAAGACAAGGCATCTGCTGCACAGAGGAGGGTGTAAAAAGTCTGCTTGGACTCAGTCCAGTGCTAGATTGTTTGTGAAAGGTGTGAAATGTAGTATTTGCTCCATCAGGGAGCTGGATCTATAACCTGCAGCAGTCCCCTCGTGCTCGTGTGTCTGCAGTGATTTTTTTCAAGTCAGTATGTGGGAGAAGGGTTGGGTGTGTCTTCCAGAAAATGTCCACATCTGTTAAGCATAGAGGTTTTCTGCTCTCTGAGCTGGAGCTTTTTAACCCCTTTCATGGCAACAGTGGGCAGAAGGATTGTGGCAGTGCTGGCTCTGATGACAAGGGCCAAGAGATGGCCTGATTGTGTCCAGTCCTGCCAGCATGCCAGGGAAGGCTGCCTGCATTTTCTTGCTATATCCTTACACACTGGCCAGTTCAGCCTGTTAACCCATCAGGAGTAGCACTCTACTTGGCAGTCCTAAATACAGTCCAGCTCCTCCCATGTGGAGGCCTGCATGAGGAAAGGGAGCACCAGAATGGAGAGCTGGGAAGTGCAGCTGAGGGAACAAGGCATCCCTGGATCATCACAGGGATGTGGGAAGCAGGAGGGACAGCATGTGTGTGGTGACTCTGCTGAGTACCTGACCTTCCCACCTGTTTGGTTTAGTGCAAATGCACCTATTTAGCAGATCTGCACTTGGATTTGGTGTTCTTTAATTCCTAAAGTTGCAGATGAAAAAGCAGTAGGATTTTCTAAGTGCATTTTAAAATACAACTTTGGCAAGAACAGAAAGCCAGGGAGCCTGTGTTCCATTTATTCCACACTTGTACAAACACTGGGTATTGAAGTTCTCAAATTCCAGAAAGAATAGACACTAAAAGTTAAGCTGTACCAGATGTAGGTGCCACTTAGTTGCTGTCTCTGAGCTGCCTTGGCAGCCAGAAGGGCTCAGGGGAGGAGGGAGGAAAATCAGCTAAACATGAAAACATGGAGAAGCATCCTGTGTGAGGCAGGAAAGTGGAGAAAGCAGCCCAGAGCACTGCTGTCAGGGCAATGAGCATTGCGTTTGTTTGGTGATGCTCTCCAGGTCTGCTCTGGCTCATCTCTGCAGTTTGCTGTGCAGGTGGGGGACCCTCTTGTGCTGTGGAAATATGTAATTTTTTTTCATCCCAATGGAGAGAGAATTGCCTCCTGTGCCATAGGAGAGTGGCAAGAACCTGTGCTTTTCTGCCTCACTGATCAGAGATGTTCAGGGGCTGCTCTGGTACTTGAACACCCCTTGCCATCATGGGGGATCCTGGTAAGGATCCTGGGAAGGGTTTTCTCATGTTTTTTCTGATAAATTGAGGCACACAAAAGCACCAAGCCTTGTTTGGCATACTGACAATTCTGCAGCCAAGCCAAACATTGGTTGTATGTGAACCCTTCCAGAGCTGGAAGTCTCTGGAGCACAAATGTGGACTGTAGCACATGATCATAGAACCAAACAATGGGTTGAGCTTGAAGGGATTTTAAAGAAATCATCCAGTTCCAACTTCCCTGCTACAGGCAGGGATGCCAGCCACTAGACCAGATTGCTACCAACACCCATCCTGGCCTTCAACACTTACAGGGCTGGGGCAACCACAGCTTCTCTGGACAGCCTGTGCCAGGGACTCACCACCCTCACAGGGCAGAATTTCTTCCTAATATCCAATCTAACCCTGCCCTCTGTCAGTTTGAAGCCATTCTCCCTTGTCCAAAGTTCCTCCTCAGCTCTCTTGGAGCCCCTTCAGGTTCTGCAAGGTTCTGAGGACTCCCCAAAGCTTCCAGGCTGCTCAATGCTCTGTTCTGGCGTGGAAGTTACATTGTGCTGGTAGCTCTTGGGCTGCCAGGATAGTTGGACATGACTCTATAGCAGTGTGTTCCTCCACAGCTTCAAAGCCTTTTCAGAGCCTGGGTCATTTCTAGAGACACAAATGCTACACAGACCCCAACAGTGGCCCATTAATTTTCTGAGGGCATTCCAGCTTTTTTGGTGGATGAAAACTCCAGGATGCAGTCCTTGTCAGCAGCAGCAGCCCTCTTGGTTGTGCCTTTCATGCTGCATGGCCCTAGTGAAAATAGAATGATGGTGGCACAGTGTGTTTTCACACTGCTTTGTGTGGAGGAGAGGCAGCTGGCTCAGGGAGGGAGGAGGATTTTGATCTCACTGGTTTCAGTAGAGTTATAAACAATTCTGGTGGTGTAAATATACTGTGTGTGTATTGTGAACCAGTGGCCAAGTGAAACAAGGAGTGGAGGGGGATACATCCTGCAGCTGTAGGATCAGTGCAGAAATTGCTGCACAGCATGAAAGTTCTTTCAGTGCCTATGAGCTTGATCTTGATCTCCAGAATGCTTTCTGCCTTCCCAAAGCAAAGTTAGTGGTGTGGTCTGGGAGGTGGGGGATAAGCAGAAGATCTTATCTAAACTGATTTCACTGTCTTCTGATACTGAGCTGCTTTTGACCCTCCTGCATTGATCTTGTCAGTGCCTGCCTAACTCCCTTGTCTCTTCCCTAATATCTGAGGGCATATCTACAGCAGGAGTCTGCAATAAACCATGTCCTTGATATTCCTTCTCGTAAAGAGCCTGCCGAGTGCCAAACCCCAGGATTTGGGGAAGAAGCCCAAGGATGTGTAAGCAATGTACACTATGGAAATGAGCTGGCAAGCTCAGCTCTCCAAACATCTCAGCCTGTGCCAAGGGAGTGGAGCACCCACCACGGGGATCCTGGTGTTCATCCCTCACGTACCTCTCTGCCTGCTGGGAATGGCAGGCCCTGTTGTGCTGGCCCTCCTGCCTGTGGTGGGCAGGTGTTCTGTAGGGCTGTGGCTGCTGGACAGGCCGTGGGACAGGACAGCATAACCCCATATGCCCCATCAGGATGCTGTACTGGTTTTTTTCACTGCTTGGCAGTTCCTGAAGGCCTGTCAGAGCTCCTTGCAATGAGGCAGCTTGAGCTGGGCCAGACCACATGGAGCTTGCACATGGGCTGGCAGGGTTCCCTCCCCAAAGACATGGCTGGTGCCAAACTGGATGTTTCCATTTGTCCCCGTTTCCTTTGTGGCAGGAGCCCTTGGTGCCTGACAGGGGGGTGGATGATGGTTGGGCTGAGGCAGGAGAACAGTGAAGGAAGCTGCTTTCCCCACCCCTGACTGTGGGCTGGAGGATTGTTTTTCAGTCCCACAAAGTCAGTGTGGGTATATTCGGGGTCCTGCCATCTCCCTGTGGCTTCAAGCCTGGTTTGGCCACTGTCCCTTGTTTACTCATTCCAAGACTCTGCTGGGATCTGGCACCATACAGTGCTTTGGGGAAAAACTGGGCAGCTGAACAAGCAAGGGCATGGATGGTGCACCAAAAGCATTGATGTCTCTTTTGTTCTGGGGTTCCTGCAGGACAGTCCCCAGTATCCAATAACACTGCCGTATGTACACCAGGAGCAGCCCCAGCAAGTCTTCCTCTCCTTGTTTATCTCATTAGCCTTCATATTTTTTCCTTCCTCAAGCTCTCTCTGGGTGAATTATTTCCCAGAACACTCTTATGTCCCATGTTGTTGACTTTACCATAAGTGAAGTGCAGGTTACCTGGACTGCATGTTGAAATGTGCCCTGTCAGAACTGAACACCTTACTTGCAGCAGCATGTCCAGTGAACCAGAGCACACAGGACAGTCTCTACCAGGTCTGGGATGACAACCAGTCCTGCTGAAGGTCAGGAGTGAAGGTGCACGATCCTTGCTGGTACAAGTGGAAGAAAGCACTGACCCAACCAGAAGGAGCAGTGTCCCATCAGCACCTGCATACCCTGTGGCTGTGTGGTGATGTGGTGCCCAGAGCTGAACTGCCTGTATCATTACAGGAGGGCCTCAGGCAGCTCCGGGGGCTTTTTCCTGCTTCTCAGGATGTTGTGCAAGATGGTGCCTCACTGGTGCTCAGGGAAAGTGTGGTCATTGCCTTGCCACAGCTTGTGAGTCTCTTGCAGCTTGAGCCCTTGCCTTATGTTTGCTTTCTGAGGGAAATTCTTCAGCTTCAGTTCTCACTGCTGAGGATTGTTGGGGCAAGGTGGGTTGAGAAATGGTAGGGTTTCCCATTTCTTGGGATTTCTTAGGGCTCTGTTCCACAAGCAATTCCTTCAGTGGTGTTCTCTGTTTCCCTTGGATCTTCTCCCTCAAAGGACCCCTGACCATCAGCCTCTGCTGATTCTTGTTCCTCAGTTGTCTGTCTCTTTTTTTGCTGCACTCAAGGAGCTGCTGCTTCTGACTTCTGCTAGGAGTGGGCAGAATATTGCCCAGCCCCTCTCCATCTGTGTTTACATCTCCAGGAATGGGTTACCTGTGCTTCTGGATGGACCTGCCCCCACAGTGGGTTCTCCTGTGCTCTCCTCTCAGCCACTTTGTTCTTTGTGGCTTGGAAAACAAAGCCTTTGGCAAGTGAAGGAGGTGCCTGCCCTTCCTGGGGGAGGGCCAGCTGGCCTGCATTTGATTATGGCAGTGCCTCCTCATCCCTCCCCATTGTCCTTGCTGCTGTAGGAATGCCAGCCTTTTCTCGCTCCATCCCGTGAGCAAGTGTTGCTGCTCTGGGGCCCGAAGAGGGGCCGGGGCCCTTCCCATCGCTCTCCTCTCTCACATCTCCATGCACCTTTCCCTGCAAGTCTCAGTCGCCCCATCCCGGCTCCGGCAGCAGACGGACACGGCAAACCCTCCTGTAAGTACCGAGTGCCGGCTGACGTGTGAGCTGTGCTGGTGTTGTTTGAAACAATGTAGAGAAGGCTTTTCACTCCTTGCTTGTGCGTGTCTGTGCGTCCAGGGTGAATCAGAGCGCTTTGTGTGCGGCTTTTGTGCGCTCAGACAGAGCCCCCTGGGCTGTGGGCATTTTTGCCTGGTCCCTCTGAATCCCAGGGCTGTGCTGTCTGTAGCAGAGCAGACTTTCTCTTTATTACAAGTCCCTCTTTCTCTTTATTAGAAGTTATTGCATGATCATTTCAGTGGGCATA